TCCCTCTACCCTGTTGTATTGCATCTTAACAGAAGAATTCTTGACTTGATGATTTTATCATTTATAACATGTATATAAAATGGGGGACAGAATTGGGGAGGGGACCACTGAGCACCCGGGAAGTGCCAGCTCGTTCCGGGCACCGCCCAGTTGGCGTGTAGACTGTCATACCATCTAATTAGTCTGCGTCGCGACAGACCCTCTACCTAGGCAATGACTGAAGTTCGGAGCGAAAAAGAATTTACCAAGCCTGAATTGCTCCGAAAATGGCCCGGATCTTACAGTAGGCCCCGACGCCGCCAACACAGAAACTTCGAACCGCAAGGCCAGAGCACGCAACCATGAGGGCAAGGTCTCTACAGTCGTTTTCAATATATATTGGTCTTTTTCTACCGTATGCCTTCCAGCCTCAACATGATGTGGATTGGTAAGGCGCCGTATCGCTTCGCTTGCGCCACGTTGCTTTCCCGTCAAACTACGCCAAGCAAGCGTCCGCTACGTGACGCAGACCAGGAGCGAGGCGGCGCCGCACCAGTCCACGTCATGTTGAGGCTGGAAGGCATACGGTAGAAAAGACCAATGCGTATTGAAAACGACTGTACCTTGCATGCACGTTTTTAGACACTCGCGCGGCGGCGGGCGCGCCTTTAGCGCTAATACAGTGCGAGCAGCGCGCCCTCTATTTGAGGCTGCCGTGCGAGCGGCGCGCAATTTATCAGTGAGCGGCGTGCCATGATGTCTTCCGCAATCTCACCCGCTGTAAGCACAAGCGATACCCGCGTGAAGTACGACGCAGTGTTTTGGATGTTTGGTTCTAATTCAATGAGGTTATCGCTGCTTCGCAAAGAGTTGTCTCATTAACACAAGTGGGGTTCTTCACAGAGAGTTAGTCCCCACAGGCACTGCGAGTAGATGCTGAGTTTGAACTCAAATTTGGAATTTTTGAACTCATGAATTTTCTAAATCTCAAATTCAAGGTTTGGGATCGCAATGCTTATGGGGACTAACTCTCAGTGGAAGAACCCTAGTTGTTTTAATGAGATAACTCCCTATTAATAATGAAACGAATCTCAGGACTTAGCTTTGGAGGATAGGCGTTTTGGGTGTACGGGTATAATTGAATTATCAAGGAAAATATTAGGTTGTCCGGAAATTAATGCCCGTTTTACATTTCAACCGCAATAAGTGTCTACAAAATGGCCATCTTGCTTTTGCAACAGCTCTCATCCATCTCGAGTTTCGAGCCAAAAACTAAAGAGACTCAGCAGCCCGAAAATTCGAAAAAATCGTAACTAAGTTCATAAAAATTCCACAAAAATTCTAATTTGCTCGCGTAAACACTATTCATATAAGACATCAATATACGCCGTTGCCGTGTTTTTTTCTCTGTTAGGAACCAAGAAAACGGGAATTCATGCATTTGCCAAAGTGATGCTGTGCCGTCCCCACATAGGTAGTTGTATACCACAAGCCTGTAGAAGTACAGATTCAAATTTCCAGTTCTCTACAAGCTTTGATTCTCGAGAAATACCGAATATAGCCTTCCCTAGTTAAGTGGTCCAAGCTAAAATTCAAATTTTTCGAGAACTAAAGCTTGTAGAGAGCTGAAAATTTGAGTCTGTACTTCTACAGGCTTGTGGTATACAACTACCTATGTGGGGACGGCACAGCATCACTTTGGCAAATGCTTGAAAATTCCCGTTTTCTTGGTTCCTAACAGAGAAGAAAATACGGCAACGGCGTATATTGATGTCTTATATGGATAGTGTTTACGCGAGCAAATTAGAATTTTTGTGGGATTTTTATGAACTGAGTTACGATTTTTTTTTCAAATTTTTAGGCTGCTGAGTCTTTTTAGTTTTTGGCTCGAAACTCGAGATGGATGAGAGCTGTTGCAAAAGGTAGATGGCATTTTTTTAGAGCTTGCTTTGCTCTATCGAATGGTACTTTGCATTCTATTTAGAAATGAAGAGAGTATGACTTATTGCGAATGAAATTCAAAACGGGCATTAATTTCCGGATTACCTCATAACTGGGATTTTTTCCATTTTCTGCATTTTCATTAAAATTTCGTCAAAATTCGAGTTCTTCGCGTTTTCCTGCCTCAAAATTCAAAAACTTAGACGAAACACGTCTAAAGTGTGATAAAAGCTTATGGGCGACCATTCTGAAGGAAGGTTGCGTGGCCGCTTTCTTTTCAGCGAAGACACATCTTTGCCGGATATCTGCGCGCGGCGCCCCGCCCCTAAAACTTTTGAAAACAGGAAAAAAATCATATTCAGACATTACAGAAAAGGTTGAAAAAATTGTGGGGGTCTTCTTTATTGGAGATCTACCTAATCTGATTTTTTGGTGAATTATGGATGGTTTTTAAATCGATTTTTCAAAAATTGGCAAAAACTCGGTTTTTCGTATTTCGGGTTACCGTAAAGCTAGGGGCCTGCAATTTTGCACATATACATCTAGTGTGTGCCTGACTAAACTGTAATTTTTTCAGAATTTTAGGATCACCCTGGAGCGAGTTTTGAAAAACCCGATTCAAGACCAGGCCATAACTCGAGAGTGGGCGGGGCTAAGGGGGCGTGGCTATGACCAAAAAATTCTCCGGGTCAAACTGGTCCGGGGGAACTTGGCCCGAGGGGCAGGGTTGATGCGGGGCCCGGTACGGAGAGGTAAAGATTCCTGGGTGAGCCTATTCAATTTTCCAGTGGGTCTCACCCAATAAATAAGAGACTTTGCAATATATTGTATCGTCGTGCAATATATTGCACAGCCTATAATGGTGAATTTTCGCTGGTCAACGCGAATACATTGGGAGTGAAAAAATCACTTATTACTATGTAAGTGACGGACCAGAATTTCGAAAAATTTTTTAAAAAATCGGGAAAAATTGGGGAATGCTGGGGCATAAGATAAAAGGTATTTAAGCATGTTAGGGCATTAATCAAAGTACTTAGGGATTTTTAAAAAATGTTAAAAGCGGTTTTTGAAGGATTTCGAATGCTCGTATATTCCAAGAATTTGAAAATTTCTAAGATTCTTTGATAAGGTTTAAAAAAATAGATGAGTGTTAAGATGATGAGGCGGAAGGTATTCAAGCATGTTAGGCACTAATTTAAGGTTCTTGAGGATTCTAAAAAATGTTCAAGGTGGTTTTTGAGGAATGTTGAATGCTCGCAAGGGAGGATTCAGAAAATTCTAGGATTTTTTAAAGAAGGTATAGAATAATAGATGAGTGTCGCGAAGATAAGGTAAAAGGGTTTAAGAGTTGTTGAAATCTTGATTGAGGTGGCTGAGGTCTTTTAGAACTAGTAGAATGAGGGTATTCGAATGTTTACGGGTGTTTGGATGTTCCGAAACTTCGAAAACCTTTAGAATTTTTTCAGAAAGTCTAGCGAAATAGGTGAATATCTGGAAAAAATAGAAAACCTCTAAAATGTGAAAGTAGTTTGCTTGAGTGGTTGAAAAAGTTTTAAAATAGAAGCCAGATAAGTTTTCGAGTACCTAGAAGACGTTGAACGTTACGAAAGTTGGAAAAAAATTTTAAAATTTTTTTCAAAAAACCGTAAGGGTTATGTGAAAGCATTAAGTAGATAAGCGGATGCAACTGAGGACGTATCAGAGGCTTTAGCGAGGTTTTTGAAACTTTTGGAACGTCAATGTCAAATAGGTTTTCCAATAATCGAGATATTTTTATAAAATTTTTCTTAGATTTAAAACTGATTTCGGTGTGATACTAAAGTCATGAAATTTTGAGTCTGTTTTATTCTCAACAAACTTACAATATAGCGAATCTTCAGGCAGATTTTATCATTTTGAAGTTTGTTTGTGAGTTTTTCAATTTTTCCATCTTGGTGGGTGCGCAAAGACTTTTAGATTTGTTTCTGGAATTATGGAGAGCGAACGTAGAGGTATTTTTCTTATGAAACTATTATTGGAACAATGTTCCACTAAGGCCCTGGAGTTTCTGGTTTTCGGATTTTTAGTAAATTTTCTATTTGAGATGGTACAAATGAACAATGTTAATGCTTGCTTTCGACATGCCCCATTTTTGGATGAAGAAAGCTTTAGGACATATAGTTGAGACGAAATGTGCTGGAAAATTTACTAGTTGTTGTTCGATCGCATGTTCAATATAAATTTATTGCCAACTAGCTGGCATACCCGGCTCCGCCGTATGTTCCGAATAAAAAATTCCATTTCTTAACCGATCCGAACCAAACTTGGCACACATACACTTCGGGCCCCGGCGGGTGTCACAGTCCACTTTTCGTTATCGATTGATGTCGATTTTATCGATTTTTTGCAAAATTTGAGCTACAGGGCTGGGATTTGGCACAGGGGGGGGGGTAATTGAGCATGCTGATTACGAATACAATATTAGTTTTCAAAACCGTGCATTACTTTAATCGATTTTATCGATTTTTTTTTGCAAAGTTTGAGCTACGGGGCTGGGATTTGGCACAGGGGGGTGATCAGCATGCTCGATTACGTCCCCTGCCAAATTCCAGCCCCCTAGCTCAAATTTTGCAAAAAAATCGATAAAATCGATTAAAGTAATGCACGATTTCAAAAACTAATGTTGTATTCGTAATCAGCATGCTCGATTACCCCCCTGGGCCAACGGCTATCGATCGATGACAAAAAGTAGCCTATGACACCCGCCGGGGCCCGTAGTGTATGTGTGCCAAGTTTGGTCCGGATCGGTTCAGAAATGGAAGTTTCTATTCGGAACATACGTACACACAGACATACATGCATACAGACAGACAGACAGACAGACAGACAGACAAACAGACATTCAGCTTTATATATAAGATTTGCAGCTTGATATGAGATCATAAGAGGTAAATATGAAAGTGAGATTCAGTTTGGTACTATGTATGACGCACTAAAGACAGCTATATGATACAAATAAGATATGATACAAAGTAGGAGGCAGCTGTATAATACAAACAACTATCTAGTGTGCAGGTTGCAAGGCATACGTACTTATAAAACTATTTATTTTGCAAGAGCTGCATAATTTGTTCATGTATAAGCTTAGGCTTACGGCGTATCGTCTCCCACTGCTCTATTGTTAGTGATGGAAAATGACGGGTAAGTGGGCCAGCTTCTAATAACTCCAACTGCAATGGCATTTCGTCAGCACTGGCTTCCGCCTGACATTCCTACAAACAAAACCATACGAAATCCTTCATAAACTAAGCATGCGATCCAGCTTACGACTGCGTAAATTTCTTCGCCCACAACTGCTACGCAGCAGCCGTAACGATGACCGTCATCCTCAAAATGGCGTGCACCCAACAAGATAACCAGCGGTTTTGGATCGTTCCGCTTTCGGTAGAGAATAAGAACAACCGATTCCATGTGTTCAAAAGCAGCTTCCGTCGCTTAGCAACTGCGCCAAAGGAGATGCAACCTTTACCAGAAACATGGCAGGGTCCGGAAATACATCCTAAATACATCGATGTAATTTCATATCTAAACCTGGGTTAAAAGTGTATGCTTACACTTTTGGTGAAAACAGTGCGCCTGCTTATTGCAAATGCAACTCTTGGATCGGCAGCAGGAGTTTTTTCCAGCAGCAATCCTACTCCGCTTTCTGTGTCACCAGAAATAGAAGTTCTCCAATGTCGAATTCAGGCCTTTTATGTAAGCTAAGATCCTCTTCTGAGAGAGACGCTCAAAATTCCACACTCTTTGGACATGGATGCTCCGTCTTGCCGATTGTAGAAAGACGAAGCTGTGTGAATCAATGTGCATACAAAAATTATTAGCGGAATAAAATATATAAATAACGGAATATTCACCTTCTGCTGCAGCCGGATCGCACACTTGACATATGCACGGATAATTGTCTGGGAAGTTAGGTATGTTTGGATTTCTCTCCGTTCTCCCACAGTTCCGCAATAACTGCTCACCAGCCTGTAAAACTATTTTCATTGTGCAGAACTTTTCATTATGTATGAGATGATTTTGCTTAAACTTACCTTGATATCGCGTTTAGCTACCAAACAATGCAACCATCGAACACGACGTTCGCCAAAGCGAATACAACGTAGGACTAGATTTGCATGCTCTATCGACTGGTTGATAAGTCGACCAAGCGTTACTATTGCCTTGTATGAGTCGCAATGTGCAAGTAAGATAAAATCGCAACCGCGTCTTCTAAATCCATGCCAATACTTGATCACTTTATGGCGTTCCTCTTCAATGAGTTTTTTGAGAGAATTTCTTATGTCTTCCACCTTTCCTTGATAGCCACTAGATACAAACAATATTATCGTCAAATCAAAAATCTCTATCATTTCAGAAAGTGCTCTTACCGAACATCGGCAACCGCCATTTCTTTAGCGATATCTACCTTGGCGTAAACACCTCGTCCATTGATGGTAGGCATCTCACGCACTTCAAGCCACGGAAAGTCCTTAAACATGCTGTCGTTTCCATTAAACGATTAAATTCTCAAGATTCGCACCTGTACAGTATACTTGGGTAATTCGAAAATTTTTCATCGAATGAATGAATATCGAATAAATTCGAAAGAGAAAAATTTCGAATAAACGAATATCGAGTAAATTCGAAAATGAAAAGTCTTGAATAAACGAATATCGAATAAATTCGAGGTTCAAAATTTCTCGAATGAATGAATTTCGAATAAATTCGGGAAATCAAAAAAGTCGAATGAATGAATATTGAATATATTCGAACATTGGAAGTCGAATATCGAATAAATATTCGAATGATTTATCGAATAACTAGAGCAACCATATCTCAAACTTGCCGACATATCTGGCTAAAGCCGATCCATTCATAATCAGCACCCTCGTATCCCCTTTACCAACTCCTAGCTCAAAATTCTCCGAAAACCGCTGAAATCGATAAAATAGATTTCGGTTTTAATCAGCATCCTTATTTACCCCCCCCCCCCTCCCCACTGTACCAACTCCCAACCTCGTAGCCCAAGATTTCCCAAAAATCGACAAAATCGATAAAGTAAATTTTTATCCATAATGAGCACCCTGACTTGCCCCCCCCCCTGTACCAACTCCCAGCTCAAACTTATCCAAAAAATAATAAAGTTGGTCGGTTTGGCAACTAGCCTGTACGTCAGCAAAAAGTCATATTTTACCCTTTAGTGGACGATCTAAAAAGGCAGTCGATATAAATTTTTATGCTGTGCCCAAAAAACTCTTCTTCATATTCTTTCTTCCGCGAAGCGAGCACGAATGCCCCTGTAGCATAATAATCAGCATAATCAACTCGACCATACTGCAGGCATTTCAGTGGCGACTGGTTTGGCAATAGTCAAATTGCCCAAAACTTATTCTAAAAGTACAGAATGCAGGGCATTTATCTTTTTAGTAAGTTGTACACGCTAAACATTTGTGGTAAGCTGGCGTTACATTTGAAGACATCTCGTAACTGGTAAATCGCGTACGGCGATCTAAACCGTCTAATCCTGCACTACAACTGCGATGTCCTTTATTCAAAATGCACCAATTCGCAAGCGAATAGAGGCAGTTGTGCAATACAACTTATGCGAGCAAGAGTGCTCACTAGTGTGGGCTTTGCGTACCACAAGCATGAGCAATGCAAAAAAAGAAGATAAGGCATTTCAAAACACTTTCATTATACGAACTCGGAACAAGATTGGATTTGATAGCTTATTTGCTGATTTGGCGCCAATAGCAGTGCGAACAATCTCATTTATCGAAAAAGCACCAGCACCTAAAATCCATATATGATTTTTTTTACTGTCGCAAGCAGTCGGAAGAATGCGATTCTCCATACAGTTCAGAGGTATAACGATTGCAAAAGATGCATTACCGAGTTTTGGGAAAAAAACGCAGACGAAGCGAGCTTGATACTCAGCAGTTGGCTATACAACAAAGTCGAATACTCTGAATACGGAGTTCATTCGAATACGAATTCGAATAAACATTTGAATGAAACATTCGAATAAAATCTATTCGGAACCCGGTTTTTTGATTATGCGAGTTTTCGAATAATATTCGAATCCTCGTTTTTTTATTATTCGAGTTTCGAATTTTATTCGAAACTCCGTCTACTCAATTATTCGAGTTTCGAATATTATTCGAAAATGGAAGAACTCCGAATATCGAATTTTGAATACGAATATATTCGAATGTTTTATTCGAATGATCGAATTTCTATTCGATTCGGACCCAAGTATACTGTACAGGCTGTGCATGAGATCGACGTAAAAAACTGGTTCTGCTGAGGCACAGTCTCGATCTTTGTCAAACACCCGTGTAAGGTGTTTCATTCAAAGCCTCTAAGTGCAAACTTGGATCAAGAGGCTCAAACCGTCTTTTGAGATCGGAAATCGTGTATCTAGTGGTATCAGCTACATCATGGATGGCATGGACGATTTCACTTGCAGTTGCTCTTGTCACATCACTCATTATTGGCTCTGCACTTTCTTCACTAATTTTCGCCGTAACCTTGAAATTCAGCTTACTGATTTTTTCCTTCTCTTCTTCTTTCTCTTCTTCGTGGTCGTCTTCATCTTCTATAACGATATGCTGCACCAGTCCCTCATCGTTGTCCGTTGGAGGTCGATCGAATTGCTTGAGTGATGAAGACGACGATGCTTGCACTACAAAAGACCCTATGTCACCTTCTTCCAAGCTAACGTTTTCCATCTGTAAGTTCAATACAGAGCTTTCGATCAAGCTTGCAATGCATAGCATAAGATAGAATACCAAAACAAACGACTTACTTTCTTCCGGCACATCTTCCACTGATAACGACACCCTCGGGCGTTTCCGTGGCGATGACTCAGCTTCCGTAAGCGGTTGCGAACTTCGTTGTCTCGTATCTGAATTTAACAATTTAAAAAATTTTCGTATAAAATGCACAAATTTACCAGCACGTAGGAGTGGCTCAGTTTGTCCATCTCCCTTATTTCCTGCGACATCAAGATTTCTCGTTGTTTCTTCCTCATCGCCTTGCTCTTCCACAAGAATTCTCGTTGCTTCTTCCTCATTGCCTTTCTCTTCCAAAAGAATTCTCGTTGCTTCTTCCTCATCGCCTTCCTCTTCCACCACATCATCCTCGTCAAAGTCATCCTTTTCTAAATCTTCTTATTCCAAGTCGGCAAGATGTTTACGACGTTCCAAACTGAAACAGCCCAGTAAGATGAGTTTAGCAGATGTAGAATTGTGATGACACAGTGTTACACCTACTTCGCAAGCTTGAACTTTTTTTCAACTTCTCGAACTAGTTCAGGATATTTAGCAGCCTCTTTTCGTCCGAAATTCCGAATCTTTACATAACCGTAAGCGCAGCTGTATCGGTACCGTCTCTGATAGTTTATCAGTTGGGTTACTTGCGAATGTCCTTAGCAGAGATTATGATGTAAGTTATGCTAAATTTGATATACCTGTCGTATGTGCACATTCCTTATCCACTCCTGGCACTTTTGCCATCTCATCTATTTTTTGCTGATAATCATTTTCGTACCAAATCTGCTATAGCATGCCTTGTCAGAAGCATGAAAAATCGGAAACGATAGAGAGCAGTTTGACTACGAATTTAACGCAAACTCCGTGTTAGCAACATACCGTGTTACAAGAAAAGTTTAGGTTTCCAAACCCACTATCTCGCAGAAATTGTTTCATTACGTGAGGGACGGTCATCTGATGAACGCGCGTTCCGCTATATTGTAGAAAGAACGGTGCAAGTGGTTCCGTCATTCCCTCTAAGTGCTGCTTTCGAATGATGCTGCAAGAAAAGACAAACACCCTGCTAATTTTACTTGATTTAATTTTAACTCACTAATTCCGTAACTTTATATAATAATCCATCCATTTTTTCGACTTTTCATCAAGAACAAAATATTGTCCATAAAATGGAATCTTTTCTTGTGCAGCCCTAGCTCTGCTCTTTGAAAGAGGATAGCTGCTGATCTAAACATGTATGTAAGTATTAGTCTATGCAGTAGATCTATGGTGCAACAGCGGATGCACTCACCCAAAGCCTTGCCAAAATCCATGACGAACTCTTGTAGCCCTGTTCGCTTCCATTCATTCACCGAAGTTACATCTTCTTCTTCGGACCGACAAATACTTCCATACATCATTTTGTAGATACACTCATTCCTGCTTGTATTGCAGTGAATAATTTAGCACCAAAGTGCACTAGAATTATGTTATTGTAAAAATCAGCGACACAAAAATGCACAAAGACAAACCCCATCACATAGTTATATTGTGCTAACTGCAAAGTCCCTTTTTGTTCAAAAATCTTCATTATTTTCTCTACAGCTTCTTCGACTCCTTTAGGCTCAACCACAGCTCTAGCAACACAATAGGGTTCACCTTTCTGCAAATTATATGTATGAATGAACAGTTACAGAAAGCAGATAAACTGACACACTTTTTTTTTCGCTGGGTACAATACCCTGAAACGATAGTGCTTGTTTTTCTTCGACATTCAGTTTCGCCATATAGTCCAGAAATAGTTTTTTGTTATGTTTTAAAACATCGCGACGTTCACGTCCGGCTACTGCAAACATGTCAAATCTTTGGAAATCGATAACAGAAGCTTGTAAATAAATCAGTAACAAAATGCTCAAAGTATCAAAAGCAACGAGTCCGTCACTTACCTGGTTCAAGTCGTAGGTCTATAAACTTACTAAAAGCAATAAGAGCTTTTATTATACTTTTAGGAGAGCCCACACTAACTCCTTCTGCTTTCAAACGCTTCATATATGCATGCACAATTTCGCATGAATAGATTGCATCGTTGACTGTTACTGTTTGGTTTATCCTGAAAATCCAGAATGCCAAAAAAAGCTTCTTAATTTGAGAAACAACTATCGTTTTCGCGCTCTCATAGCTGCAAGCATAAACCGATTTATACAGGACACATAACCCCATGTACCGTTTTTCAATGGATTGCCTTTCCTTGCCAAAGCATCCGGCTAAACAAAGACGAAATTTGAGTTAGCGCTTGTTCGTAAACATATAGACGGCTTCAACATAGTGTTTACCAGTGCTTCAAAAATATATTCTTCAAATCCTCTAAGCAAGGGATGCATCCTTCCATCCAGTTTACGATAATACTTCAATTCGACGTCCACTTTTCTCTGCCATTCTGAAATGTTAGGTGCAGTGATCAATAGTCATGGCATAATTCACAAGTAATAGTCAACGTTTACTATTCTTTTGTTTCTTTGGCACAATGTAGTCCGCCTTATAGTATCCCGGTGCTTGATCATCCATTTCATAACAGAACATAAGTTCGACATTTGACGCAGTTTCAGTTTGACGCAACACTGCTTCCACTGATCCACCTATAACATTCATATAAAAGGTATTCGTATGTGATTTTCTTAGTTTCTCAAATTGCTTTTTAAATTTAAATTTAAATTTCAACCTTCGAAAGTCGCGTCTCCAAACTGCGTGTAGAAAGCGGACGTTGTTGTCTTTGGCATAGTCGTTCGTGAAGTACCTTGCTTCGCTGCTTTACTAGCCTCGTAACTTTATATAGCTTGGGACTTCGATGTGGATTCAGCTTCCATCACGTAATCGCACTACTCTCTCTTTCTAAGGCATCTTCTTCTATGTGTTTTTTGTGTTTTTTCAATTAACCCAGTTCATGAGCTTCTGCCTTGTTTGGCTTTCTTTCTGAGGCAAAATACCGCTTTCCATGGCTTAAAATCCTTTTCGAAATTCCTACCGTAATCCTACACTAATGAAGAGATGCTGATAAGTCGCTCCATACCGTAAATCTAAGTTGAACCTCGCTCTAAAGAATGGTACCTCAAGCTCGGCAAAAGACATGAAAGCAAGAGAGTTATTAACAATCAAACAGTGTGCACATCTTTTTGGGACACCCTGTATATATATATATATCAGTGGCGTACCCAGGATTTCGGCTCGGGGGGGGGCGCGGCAAAAAAATTTTCAAACGAAGGTGCGTGGCGTTAGCCACGCACTCCGAAAAATTTTTAGGGGGGCTTCTCAACAATTTTGCGGGCCCCAAACCCATAAAATCTGGAAAAAGGGGGCGTGGCGGCAGCCACGCCCTTGAAAAAATTTTTTTATAAGGCTAATTTGAATTTTTAAAAAATTTAAAAAATTATTTTAATTGTTTACAAAAATAAACAAGTCATTTGCACATTTTTATAACGCATGTAAGTAATTTTCAAAAATTTCGCGACCCGTTCTCGGGGGAGGCGCGCGCCCCCCCCCCCCCCGCCCCCCCCCCCTCGGTACGCCACTGATATATATATATATATAAATATATAAATATAGATTAATCTCGGTATTACCGATAGCGACGTACCTTTGCGCGCAAAGTTCGATCTAGTGTATTGTTATCTTTTAAAGTGTCTTCAAGTTTCTCCAATATATGATTAAACATATCTCCATTTGTGTAGCTTCCATAATCTGAATTTTACCACTTTTCGTTCTTGAACAGCTCAAGGTACTCACTCAAAAAGTCAAGCCAATGTCAGGTATTCATAAAGAAGTCAAAGTAATTCTCAAATAATCTATGTAGTAATGTACCTAGCAGCACGATCCCACATTGCTCCTCGCGCTTTGCTGCAAATCCAATCACCTCACCATTTAATCCGTTTTCATGAAAAATTCTTTGATTTAATTCGGGCAGATGCGGCAACCCTGTGGTCGACACAGCATCCATCTTCGTCGCATAAAATACGGCATGTGTGCTTTGGGTTGTTTCATACTGCCGCACTGACCGCAGCAGGCTGCATCAGACTGCAGCTGACTGCACTGACTGCAGCAGACTGCAGCAGACTGCAGCAGACTGCAGCAGACTGCAGCAGACTGCAGCTGACCGCACTGACCGCAACGACCGCAGCGGCTGAAGCCTGCAGGCGGAGAGGATAAATAGTTGTGCTTTAAACAAACAACAACAATATATACGTAAAAGCAAAAGACAACAAGGTTCACAATGTTACAAAACAGGTATATGCAATGATAGGAAGAATTAGAACAAATACGAACATACCAAAGAAAACTATCTCCAAAATTTGATTGAGAAAATTCTGATGGAACCTATGATCTTATTATGCGCGAATCACGCTGTTTTGTTAATCGCGGTTGAGTTTTAAGAAAAGAGGCTGCGACCGGTGCGGTCAGTGTGGTCATTGCGGTCAGCTGCAGTCAGCTGCAGTCTGCTGCAGTCTGCTGCAGTCAGTGCAGTCAGCTGCAGTCTGCTGCAGCCTGCTGCGGTCAGTGCAGTCAGCTGCAGTCTGCTGCAGTCTGCTGCAGTCAGTGCGGCAGTCTGAAACAACCCTTTCGGAGAGAAGCATAAAGACAGTAATGATGGCAGGATTAAAGCAGAGCATCACCTGATATAAGTAACTTCATCATGTAATCGGAACGGCATACGCAAGAGAGTAAAGCGAAACGAAAGCACGTCTACAAAGGTCCATAGTATAACATCAAGAGGATCGACGTGTGCCGCATGCACATGCACATGTCAGCTCACGGAATAGAACTGTGAATTTGAGCCTACTTCATGATCACAGAAAGGAAAAATTGTGCTTTGCATCTGAAATTTCAATGAATTAATTATTAAGAAAAAAATCATTGTCTTTTTATAACTCAAGTTTTTGAAAAGCTGCGGCGCTCAAATTTTGGCGGCACAAACAGCGTGAGAACCTAACACGAAACAAAAAGTTTCGGCCTTATTGACCGAGTCTGAGGCCCATTGTTGATATCGAGCAAAACGTCGCATATGGAGTAAAGATGGCGAAGTGCCAAGCGTATACTATCGTTCAACCCTTGTTGGCCTTCCAGACTATGATTTCGTTGAGATATCGAATTCTGAAATTGTGACTTTTCCTGAAAAATCACATAAACTGGCTGTCAGCTGTAAGCCCTGCACACTTCGGGCTAAGCTGGAACAGCATTATTTTTATTTTACGTCTGAAATACTATCATTCAGTCCTCGTTTGGGCCTTCCAGTCTATGGTTTCGCTAGATATTGTTGAATTCTAAAATTGTGCCTTCTGTAAATTGTACGTCAAATTTCGCACAGCGATTTTTAAGCTACTTTTCTTATGGTAACCTAAGAACAATTCGATTTCATGACGTTGTCAGAGATAAATAAATGGTTCTCCTCAAATTCGCCATATGGCTTCCCTCGACCCTTTGTCATGTACTTGGAAAGTACAAGACTCCAAGCTTTATTCTGAAACGAATTACAGGCAAATTTTGGTTTTGGGTAGGGCAAGCGGCTATATATCCGCTAAGCGGGTATATACCCGCCAAGCGGGTGTATGCCCGCCGGGTGGCGGTCAAGATGAACGATAGCATGTGCCAGCCGCCAGCTGGGTACCGTACGCGGTGCGCTGGTCGCTCCGCCCCCTTGTTAATTAGCCCAGGAATGCATTGCAGCTATTAGAAAACTCTCTAATACTTCATTCATGCTTCTTCGGTTGGTTGCAACTTGGATAACAGTAAATTTCAAGATTTCAGTTGAACTGAAAATCAGTTTTCAGATCATTTTTCATTATAGAATCAGTCGGCAAGCTCTTTTTAATGTGTTTCAGTTATTTGTTCCTAGCAGGCTTGTCCAAAATGATTTTTCATTGCAGGTTGGGCATGAGGAAATTGTTTCGAAAATGCTTGGAAAAGTGTTTTTCTCTATTTACATCTGTTACCATATTAAATATGCTTTGATGTGCACTCTCAAATCCAGTTTCAAAAAAAATCAGCTTATGAAATGAAACACCATTATATGTTTTATCGGAAAAGTAAGTTTTAAAACCCTAATCATAACTAAAAACAGATTTCATTGAGACGAGAATTCAAAACAAGTATTATAGGTGAACTTTGTTTCAAGCGAACTAACTCGTTTTGAAAATATTCGTCATATCACATAAATTTTCTTAGCTTTCAGGAAAATCATACTGCACTTATATATTTCCGAACTGCCTTAGATAACAAAATTTTTTTATTTTGCTTCCAAAAACTGCTATCCTCAATATAAATCGATCTGTAACTCAATCGAAATTGCGTGTGAACTAGTCGTAAGATATGAGGTCACTCAGACAATCATGCCTGAGGTGTTCTAGATCGATTTCACGCCTAAATTCGATATCCAGGAGTCACTCGGTCATTCATAGGTAAATCAGCAAATCTCTCGAATTTCACGACCAAAACATCAGCTGTGCATTGATTGCCAAAAAAAGAAAGTAAAAATCAAGACAAGATTCTTTAAACAGTCAAGCTTCACCCCAGCTTGCAATAAGCTTATATCTCACTATATCAAAAGTTATTTTTACTTGACATATCGTCCGAGAAACTCGTCCGCCGCAATAGGGCGGAGCTTCGAGCGAACACGTTATTGCCAGTTCATGACCCCGCGAGCCACTGTTACCAGCTATCGTTCATCTTGACATATACCCATGCCCGCCAAGCGGGTATGTGCCCGTTTTTCCTTTCCTTGCGAAGCAGCCACAACCCACTGAATTAGCAATGAAGCATCCAAAACATGCGTCGTACTTCACGCGGGTATCGCTTGTGCTTACAGCGTGTGAGAAACTCGGGCGAGCACGATCGTGCTTGCCCGGGCCTACCGTAAGATCCGGGCCACTTGGGGTGGGGGGGGGGGGCGAATTTTAGAGTTCGTAGACCACCTTTCTCGCTGCAAGCTTCTGTCGTCGCTTAGTTAGGGGGTCTACTTTTACATTACTACCAGATCCAGGTAACCCCCAATTTGGTGGGGCGTATAGTTGGAACCGAATATTTGTGTTCGATTTGTGCGAAACATTCGACTACTCGAATATTCGAATTGTCGAATATTTGAGAAATACCGATTATTAGAATAGTCGAATACATGAAAAAGGTCTTTATTCGAATAATACGTTCATTCTACGATTTGGAAAAATAACTTATTCGAAATTCGGTTATTCGAGGAATTTTTAAAGACAATTATTCGAATATTCGATAATTCGCGAAGAACCGTTGGTATATTGGAATATTCGACTATTGCCTTTAAACATTCGAATATTGCACGCGAATATTCGAAGATCGCATTCGAATATTCGATGATATCCAAGTATTCGATTATTCGATTAGTCGAATATTCGATTGAGTGCAGTATTCGAATATTGTTCATTCGAACTTTGGAATGTTCCCATATTTGAATAATCGAATTCGAATAATATAAAAATCGGAAATCGAACAATATTCGTTCAGTTTCCAAGTTCCGTCTGTTTTGAACCTGGGCATTCTTCGTATGTATTGTGTGTTCTTCTTGTGCCTTACAGGTTGGTAGGTGGTCCTTTATTAGTCAGTATCAACGGCCTTACGTTTCAACGCTTTCGTCTTCGTCAGAGGCCTAGAATGGTTCTGAGTTTCATCAGTGAGTCCAGCCCACCAAATGTCTCCCCTAGTTCTGCCAGTTTTCGGCCTTCACCCAATCTAGTTGCCACAAAAATTGCGAAAGCAATGACATACCAGAGAACCACCGCTTCGTCATCAGATGTCCGTACCGGAAGGAGACGGTCGCGACGGACGAATGAGTTATACTGTTTTGGATGGTGAATGATCTACAGTCATAACTATCATAATGATATAAACTCGGACTCAGCAAGGCAAACGCGATGGCCCTAGTAAGCGAGTGTCTGAACTGTAACATCTTCAGATGGTCTGGGACTTACTATTCCCAGATACGTGGGTTAGCTATGGGCCAAAGACTAGCACCAGTTCTTGCCATATGCTTTATGAGTAAGATCGAAGAGCCGGTGTTAGCGCGAATGCCACTGCTGTATTGTCGTTACATCGATGATTGCTGTGTTGTGACATCCACACAGTCTGAAATAGACAAGTGTTACGAGATTTTGAATCAGCAATCACGATACATCAGGTTCACGCGTAAGACACCAGACGACCGATGGCTGCCTTATCTGAACGCGCAGATAAAGTTGACCGATGGCATTGTAAGCACCAAATGGTACCGCAAGGAAAGCTCCAAAAACATCCTCATTAACGTCAAGTCCGCACACTCTGCATCTGTCAAACGTGCTGTCCTTAGGAATATGTTCAGAACGGCAATGCAGACATGCAGCGGAGAGGATGAACGGCGCGAATCACGAAAGCTGGCTGCCCAAATTGCTTGCAGCAATGGCTACCATCCCTCACCACATACTCGACATCTAAAAAGTGGTGAGCACCGAGTTGAAAACAGACTTTCACTTTGCCTGCCATTCATCTCCGATAAGATCAGCGCGGCCATTCAAAAATGCATAATTCGTGCACAGCTGCAAGATGATGTTATGTTAGTCAACATCCCAAACGACAACATCAAAAAACAGCTGGTGCGAAATCGGCTCTACGATCGTTACTGTATATCTGAGCAATGCGTTGTTTGTCCGCACGGGAGACTGGGAGACTGCGCAAAGATGGGAGTTGTGTATCAACTCGAGTGTTTGAGCTGCAACGCACGTTACATTGGGGAAACAGGAAGAATGCTTAGCATTCGCGTAAAAGAACATCTTGCAGATAAAAGGCGAAAGAACATGGCTTCAACGCTTGGCAGACATAGGCGCGAGGCGCATGGTGATGAAGATTTTGACATTAAAGTCACGATCCTAACATTTGAAGAGGAGATCTCAGCTAGGAAAGCTATGGAAGCCTTCTGGATTTCTGCGAAGAATCCAGAAATGAACAGCAAAAACGAATGTCTACCAATAACCGCTGACTTTCTCCCGTTTATATCATTATGCGAGTTATGACTGTAGATCATTCACCATCCAAAACAGTATAACTCATTCGTCCGTCGCGACCGTCTCCTTCCGGTACGGACATCTGATGACGAAGCGGTGGTTCTCTGGTATGTCATTGCTTTCGCAATTTTTGTGGCAACTAGATTGGGTGAAGGCCGAAAACTGGCAGAACTAGGGGAGACATTTGGTGGGCTGGACTCACTGATGAAACTCAGAACCATTCTAGGCCTCTGACGAAGACGAAAGCGTTGAAACGTAAGGCCGTTGATACTGACTAATAAAGGACCATCTACCAACCTGTAAGGCACAAGAAGAACACACAATATTCGTTCATTCAAAAACTTTTAGGAAATCTATTATATATTCGAGATATATTTATTTGTTCGAAAATTTTTCAAAAATCACTTATTCGATATTCGTTCATTCGATGAGTATTTCCGTTCGTTACAACTACAGTGGGGCGCTGCATTTATGTAAGGTCCCATCTTCGTATGACTACTGTAATCCTATCATATGATGCTATCTTGAGAAACGTATGTGATATTTGTGGCCAGCGTGTCAAATAACCCCCTAAACCAAGTTTCAGTCATTTCTGCAAGGGAAGGTCTGCGAATTTTTATTTATAGGCGAGCCGTTGTTCGCAGAAATAAGGCGCCATTGCGACACTATCCCATCTCTCTGGTCGAGCACCCACTTCTCTTACCGTGTGTTGTCTCCTTCAAGGACGGACTATCTTGCTAGGACGCAATGGCAACCAGTCTTTGCGTGCGATGACTCGTCTATACAAGTAATGCGATCGAACGAGAATGCCGGTGTGATTACAAGTGATATTCTGCGCTGAAATCTCATTATCACCAATCATTTTTATATGGCTTCATCTAGATACTGTCCGTTATCTTCTTTCCTTGCTTGTATGGTACCAGTCTTACCAGTTTCAGAATTTCTCTTCTTCAAAAAGATGGCAAATGACTGGATTCATTGCAACGCGTGTTATCGACAGCCAACTCAGGGTGTTGTCTACCTTTTATCAAGCTGTGGGCACATTGTTTGTCAGACTTGTTCTACAGCATCTGGTGAGTCCAGCTTGTTTATTTATTTGAAGATTTGAATCATGTGTATTTCATAGAAAAAAAAGATCGCCAAATTTTTAAATTTAGGTTTTGTAGGGCATTTCGTTTTGCCTCTGACGTTATCAGTAATGCCCCCTTGTCGCAAGAAGCAAGCACAGACCAATATCATTCGTTTTGAGATCGGAAGACCGGAATCACTTTGCATACTTGTAGAAACAAGCATGAAGTGTATTCAACAATTTACATTTGCGGTGTATCCAGCTTGGGATTATTTACCCACTTGGAATTAGGAGAGAGCAGATTCAAGTTTCTTCAAACCATGTGTGCAAAGCCGTTTCGAGTGACCCAAATTCAGAACAAATGATACGTGATACAAAGTTGAGAACAGGAGTCCACTTATGTCTATGTACATGTTCTTTATTGCAATTCCTAAAAAATGCATCATAATATACATTTTTTCTTTTCACTTTTTCCTCGAAATCCGCTGATTCTTGTATTTGAGAAACAGGAAACGAGGGTCCAGAGAAGCCTTGTCCAGTTTGTCATAAAAAATGCGCGATTGCTGAAATCAACAGAAAACTGCGCCCCGAACTTCAGGTCAGTCAGAGTCGTTAAGGCTTTTGTTGCTTCAAAAATTCAATGTTCGATTACTATCACCATTAGGTTTCTATTCAGATCCTTTTTCGTAACCCGAAAGAAGTTGCAACACAATATATGAAAAATCTCTCGCAAGTCTTGGAATTTCAAGGAACGAACAGAAATAGGCTCGCTAAGCATATCGCTGAAAAGGTATGGACTGGTAGATGTGCCGATGAAAGTAGTGTTTTGCGAAACCGACAACATTCCGCGTAAACAATGAATGCTCGTTCCGTGGCCATTGCGCGAGTCGTTCGCAAGCATGACACTTGTTTTAATGAATATTTTCGACTCTGCGAGGCACTATTTCGACCGTCAATCTACACAACTTTTAAGTATGCATGTTGTTGTGAAGATGATATCGATAGGATCACCTTCAGGAGAAGAAAGCTGTAAAGTATGCTAGCTTGGCTCGCGACGAGATCAAGAAGAGAATTGACATTGAAAAGTAGGTTTTTGTTGCGGATCCTTCACTCATCAACTTCTTCGCTTACAGAAAAGCAGTAGAAGAACATACGCGGCTGAAACATGAGCTGGATATGGAGCGATTCCGCTGCCGTACTCTTGAAGCGAAGTAGGTCGTATTAACACGTATGGTTTTGCTGCATTTGTATGCTATTTCATATCAGAATTTCTGTTAACTTCTTTATTGCGTTGCTTCTTATCACTTCAGAGGCCGATGCTCAACATATACTTTTTAGGCTCGCTGAACATGAAAAGCAACTCGAAGAACTAAAGAAGAATGTGAATATGGCCGGACCAATCGTTCGTTCCGGTAGGTTACTGCTCTTCTAGCAGGCATATGTTCTATCACATCTTCGTATATATATGTATTTTTTTGAGATTCGGGTATCGATGCAGAGATGGACATTGACAGCAACATTTCCTTCTTGAACGTAGCCACGAGCACTCCAATCCAAAAATGCAGCGTTAGTCATCTTTAGTATACTTTTTATATCTGAGTGCTATTGTTTGTTTTGTTTAAGCCCCTCAATCGTTTCACATCTACTGGGCATAGAAATCGTAACCATATTGCGGAAATGTTCCTTGGTGGTGCTGACGATGTTCTCTCACCGATTACATTCCCACCTAACCAGCTCCTGACAACTCCAGCTATGCTGGGAATAAAACAAAAGGGTCACAGGTATTGCACTTGCGAAATACGATTTTCTTTGAAGTGATTGGCTAACAAAAAGTCCTTGATAATTTTATTATCCTTGTATGATATGTATTAGGATTTCCTTCGTGTTACGCATCTATTTGTTGCATTGGGTTTTTAACTACATATCCGAAGACAAATTGACTACGCCGTGTAGCGGGAACAGTTTCGCGCAGTACGGCACAACGATACGCACGCGTATCAGATTTTTAGCCGCAGGTCGCCATGATTTTATTCCTGCTTCTCATTCTTATATTGATGTGTTAGAGCCAAGACTATGGCATGTAGGCATTATAGCTTGACAACAAGCCCGCATACACAGTCTATTTCAACCACCTGCTTCTTTTTCTAGAGCATCTGCGGCGCGTGGGCATTGCGCAACGATCTTCGGTCGATGCGACTAAATTTGAACGCTTAAGCGCTACGTCTGCGAACGCGGCACGAGGCTCCAGCGTTGCGCTTGAGCTGCTCGGAAAGGGAGCACATCGTTGATCAGACTATAGTGGTATGCGCCTAGGACTTAGTATAGCTAAAGTCGGTTGCACGAAATTGTCCACAGAGTATAAGCGAAGTACGCGCGCGGCTGTCCTGCATTACTGCTGTGATGACTGCGCGTCGGTGCCGATGTACGGAACTTATCAAATGCAGTGTCGTTTGCATCAGCATCTCCATTCTCGCGCTGGAGTCTGCGTCTCTTTCGCGAACATGCTCTCTAACCACTTCCAATCGATTGAGGCTCCGCCTTTCCCACGTTGAGGCTCCGCCTTTCCCACGCTCGCCCTGGGAACGTGATCAGAGAGCGTGTTCGCAGAAGAGATGCAGAGAGTCCAGCGCGGGAGTGGACATGCTGGGGCAAGCAACACTTCATTTGATAAGCCCTGTAGATCGTAAGCCACCTCGGCAGCCACGCGCTCGACACACTCGCGGGCATTTTGCTTACATCCTTCGCGTGATTTCTTGCGGTAGAAGACGGCCAGCTCTCGTATAGTGGTGTAATTGCGCTGTTTGGGGCTGCCGCTGTTACACAGATTGTACGCGCTTGAAGCCTCAGAAAAGCATGATAGCGACTTAAGACTGTAATCAGTTTATGGACCATGGGTCTTTCAGCTTGTTTAGTTTGTGTCTAATCTCTACATCTCATTTTCCTTTGTGAAGTACCTTCATAAACAGGCGAAGCAGCTCCGCAAATGAGCGGCAGCCATCAGGTGGCAATAGGTTCGACGGCAATAGGTTCGACTTCCATTCCAGTGGAGGAAAAAGCACCAACTGCTTTGGCTTGTCGAAAACCTGATTTTCAGCAGAAAATTCTTTCTGATACTGTGAATATCATTTCATTTCTTTTGGAGTACTCTAGTTAATCAGTGTTTGGCTAATATCTCATTCCGTTGATAACGCCGTTAACTCTTCCAAATTTTTTTCAAAAGCAAAATGTTGGCTTCACAAATTATTAGAGTGGCGGAGTTGTTTGAGCATGTTGTTGTGGTTTTTTCTATAGTTTATTACTTCCAAAGAGCCTATTCTATACATGGTGATCAGTTACAATTCAAATTGATCTTATTGTTGGATTGAGTTGAACGTTAAAACTATAATAACACTAAGGTGTTTGATTTAGTTCTTGTTCCTTTACTTTTAGTATAAAAATAAAGCACTTTTGTTATTTTCAAAGTGGAGACTAGTGCACAAGAAATAGAAAAAAAAACACATTTTCACTAAAAATCGTAGTTTGTCACTGGAACTGCAGAGTTCCAATATGTTGCAAAGCTCCATACTGATGCACTTATGTATCGTTTACAATCTCACTCTTCAATCTTCCCTTACAGTGGAAATATGTTTGCAAATTTTTCTCCCCGACTCAATGGATAAATCTGTAGGTTTCAGATGGTGAAAAAAAATCAAACAACGGAATTCGATTGGCCGAGCGAAAGTAAATCGCTTGATCTGAATACAAGTGGTTTCAGACTTTTTGAAGCAAATCTGTGCGCTTTCTGCGCAATCAGAGGAATCTGCTCTTATCCTTTTACTTCTTGCCGACGTTATATGTTGCAAACTTGGGCATCTTCATAAATACAATACCAGCTAAAAATAACATCATGCTGACAAGTGCTGCTGTCTCGTCAGTATTGGATGGAATCATTCATAGCACAGTTGGCGGCTATCAATATTTTAGTAAACATTGGCAACAATAATTCAAATGTATCTGAATGTTCCTAATATAGTAGGTCGTCCCGAAAGTATATTCGCTTTTTTTGAACAAGCGCCACAGTCCACAGAACAAAAATTCACAGAAGGTCTTGGTAGTTTTCGATGCAGTTTCATGCTCTTTCAAAGTGGTAACCTTTATGGCACGCGCCATACTCAATCCGCTCAGTCTACTTGATCCGCTTCGTCATTGGTCAATTCCGTGAACTATCAATAGTGATGGATGAAGTGGATCGGATCAAGCTGACAACCGCTTCGCTTCAGTCAGTTTACTGAATCGACTAGACGAAGCGGATCAAGTGGATTAAGAGGATCGAGTATGGCGCGTGCCTACATTGCAGTAGAGGCAACAAGCTCTCAGAAAATTACTACAAACTGCGACCCACGCTTTATCAAGGTAGTTCCAATATTTTTCTAACTTGTACTGATTTCCCGAAGAAGTACAAGTTGTGGATAGTGCAAGCTTTATAGGATACAATAGAATTTTTGCTTTCCATAGCTGACTATCCAGAATTTTCAGGATTATTTTTATTCTACCAAATTTTATATCTTGTCAACTCAAGCTTCATAGAACATCAGCTGGCAAGCAACTCGGGTGTTATTCAATGTAGCCTCTTTCGTCTTCAATAGATATGGTCTTGGAGGATGAAATTGGCATATTTCATGCTTTTGAAGGCACCCCAAGTGTACCCGGCAAATCCACAATTCGGTATTTCGAATTCCGGAAATTGAATTCTAATCCATCTTTGAAAGTACAGAAAACCGAGGATTTATTGGAGTTTGACGAGTCTGCGTCTGGTATGGGTCTGCCTAAATTCGATGGTGTTTTTTCTGTAGAAAATCATGGAGAGCTTTGGAAATGAGAACGAAGTCATTTGTATCCCATAGGGTTTGCTCTATTTATCCGTTCTTGGGCTTATTCGGGGAATCAGTACAAAAATTCAGAAAGAAACAAAACTTGACGTAAGTAATAACCATGGGTTTTTGGTGATTTTCTGAAAGCTTGCTGCACTACACTTCAAAGATAACTATTTGTAAGAGCATGAAAAAATGCATCGAATGCTATCAAAATCTCCTGTAAACCTTTGTTCTGCAGAATGTGGCTCTTGTTCAAAAAAAGGGGAAATACTTTCGGAATGACTTGATATATGTCATATTTTACGCCAATCATCAGTCATTGTAAAAGCAGCACTGACGAGGCTCGGGTTCTTTTCATTGTTAGGTTCCCCCTTGTTCTCGGAAAAATTACTCATTAGCCAAATTACTCATCAAAGATTCGCCTATAATTTTCAGAGTGGAGTAATTGACTAAGAAAAACGAAGACCTTCATTTGGTACTTAAGCGCAAAAACAAACCGAATTTGCGAAGTTTACACAATATGATGACTTCGCAGAGGTCTTGCCAAAACAAGAGCTAATTAAGGCCAGAGTAAAGTGATGAAGCTAACATGAGCTGAGAGGAATTCATCAAAATTTTTCCAATCATCAGAGCTATTTTCATTGGAAGTCAAAGTAACAATGAAGTAAGGCTTGAATGAATAGGGCAGTTCAACATGGATCCATACCGAATCTATCTAATCTGCGAAAAAAAATTTACATATCGCCTGCATAGCTTGTCAGTTGTTTGAGGAGGAAACTTTGTCATGACAGACGCAGTACGGTGCTAGAAAGTAGTTCAGCTCTATGATGCAGTGCGGAGCATCACCGTATTTATTTATGCGGCTAAACGAACCCAAGTCGATATGAACTGCATTCAGGACGTAGTCATAGAATAAAGTCACCTAAAATCAATATAAATATTCGACAAAAATGATTGATAAAACTTCTGAAGCTGAAAGGTGTTTTTTATAGCCTGAAGGTCTCATCTTTCATTTTTTGATACTAGAAAGTCATTTTACTAAATCGAAATATATTAGATTATTCCGAAAGTAATTTCGCTTTTTTCAAACGGGCGCCACATCTGATGGAACAAAGGTTTCTAAGAGGTCTTGGAAGCATTCGACGCAGCATTTCATTCTCTTTCCGCTTATAAAATTGTTGCAAAACAGTCCATGAGCTTTCAAAAAATAACCAAAATCTGCGACCATGCTTTTTGAGATGGTCAAGTTTCACGATTTTTTAAACCTTTCATATCAATCCTCAGAAGGAGTTCAAGTAACGATTCGATAGAGTAAAGCTTATAGAATACAGGGCTACTTTTTTCTTTTTCTCGTAACTCGCCGTAATTTTTTGAAAGATTTTTTAGCAGAACCATCGAATTCTGGCAGGCCCACTTCAACCACAATCGCATCAATTTTTCGAAATTTGAGACTACCAAGATGGTAGTATGAGTTAGCATTAATTTTACAAAGCAAGTGAGGGTTTACGGGTTTGAAACATCAAGTTCCGAGTTTTTCGGGTACAGCCAGGGCTCCCTAAAAAAGTGAGTTATGATGATTTTATCCCCGGAAACTAAACGAATCGAAGACAAAAAACACCCATTAGAAAGAAGCGAAAAAGCTGCATCGAATGACACTGGAACTGCTCAAGGTTTGATGTTCTACTAGGATCTAGTTGTCCAAGTATGGAAATCGGTAGCATCAGTTAAAATTCTGTTAAAAATGTATGACAAGCTATAGAAAAGAGAAAAAAGTTGCACTGTATTCTATGAGGTTCGCTCTATCGAACCGTCGCTTGAAGTTCTTCTGAGAATTGATATGAAAGTTTTAAAAAATTGTGAAACTTGACTATCTTAAAAAGCATAGGTTGCAGATTTTGGTTATTTTCTGAAAGCTCATTGACTGTTTTTCAACATTCTTATAACCATTAGAAAGAGAATGAGGTTCTGCATTAAATGCCTCCTAGACCTCTTAGAAACCTTTGTTCCATCAGATGTGGCGCCCGTTTGAAAAAAGCGAAATTACTTTCGGAATGACCTAATAGAATGCTTCAATAAAATCAAAGAAGAAAATGCGGAAGGTAGCGCTAACTTTCTAGCGAATGACTTGATACTCCAAACAGTCAGTAAGCTTGTTCTTACAATTAGCGACGTGCAAAGAGGTATGTGCAGGGTCGAGCGGGAAGTGTAACCAAAAACGTCTTGTGCCACCCCGCTAAGTTCTGTTTGGTAGACCCACCTGCATTATCTATCTACCTTAGGCACATCGTGGAAGCCGTACTAAACATGATAGTAACGTGCTCATGAGCACGTCAAATACTGTGGGCCACTTTTTATCGAATTCTGAGGCTTTCAAAAATTGGGCCAACCAAGAAATGGTCATTTTCAAACATGGTTAACATTTCGAAGGTAACTTCAACTTTGAGCTTTGCCATGTTTTAAATGACGAATAACTGCAATCACTATATCGTGCCATATACAGCGACCGCCAAGACAAGTCGCCTTCCTTCTTTCATCGCTCATTTTCAGATGGAAAACAAAGATGAAAAAATAGTCGAATTGCATGGGGTAATAGAGCTCTTCAAGAGCTACAACCTACACGTTGCGCTTTCTGGAAAACGTGTATTCTAATTTGTGAAAATTTTTTCTAAAAAGGTTCGAAAATGGCCGCGTCACAATGTCGCGGACAATAATTCTTCGAACGCAAACATTTTCTTTTAGGTCTTTTTTTTGGAGCAAAAACAAAAGTTTTCCGGGCAGTTAAGCATACTATTTTGTAAACCTTATCGAGGACAATAATTCGGTAGTGGTTACTTCCAAAAAAAACCCAAGCTTGAATTTTATTTTGCTTCTTCTCAAATAGCTTGTAATTTCCTGCTTCAAGCCAAATTTCTTCACATGGAAACCCATCCAAGAGATTCCAACAAAGCTAATTGGATAAAATGGATGCCCTTTGCCATATTCTATGCATCGGACGTGTGCTGGTGAGTTTCTTTGCTGAAAATTTCTTTTGACAGTACGTGCGCAGGCTCCACCTGCATCTCACCCTTTGCAGGGTTGTAGCTCGGCCAGTAGTCACTCTTTGAGCTTGCAGTTAGGCTCATTCGAAATCAGCGTGACTTCCTCGACACGACGGTATGCAGTATAGTTGGGTATGAGAAACAGCGGAGATTTGGCGGATGGGGTGAAAAAGCGCAGCCTTAGAGGTGATTGGAGTGGAGGCTTTCAACAACATCAGAACAGTCCTAAAGCTTCGAAATGGATCTATTACAAGAACATTGGCAGTTTTAAACTTCCAGAATGGAACTTGTAGCAAAAGAAGCTCTGTTCAACTTTAGCTGGAAATCCTTAGCTTACCACTGAGGCTGCGCTTTTTCACCCCATCCGCCAAATCTCCGCTGTTTCTCATACCCAACTATTTTGCATACCATCGTGTCGAGGAAGTCACGCTGATTTCGAATAAGCCTAACTGCAAGCTTAAAGAGTGACTGATGGCCGAGCTACAACCTTGCAAAGCGGTGCAAGTCAGTGGTGAGGTGCAGGTGGGGTCATGTGCACACACTGTCAAAAGCCATTTTCAGCAATGAAACTCACCAGCACACGTCCGATGCATGGAAGATGGCAAAGGGCATCCATTTTATCCGAATAGCTTTGTTGGAATATCTTGAATGGGTTTCCATGTGAAGAAATTTGGCTTGAAGCAGGGAATTAGAAGTTATTTTTGAAAAGAAGCAAAATAAAATTCACGCTTGGGTTTTTTGAAAGTAACCACTACCAAATTATTGTCCTCGATGAGTTCTACGGTATAGTATGCCTAATTATCCGGAAAATTTTTGTTTTTGCTCTAAAAGACCTAAAAGAAAATTTTCGCGTTTGAAAAATTATCATCCGCGACATTGTGACGCGGCCATTTTCGGACTTGTTGTAGAAAAAGTTTTTTATAATTTTTAGAATACATATTTTCCAGAAAGCGCAATGTGTGGGTTGTAGCTCTCGGAGAGCTCTATCACCTCATGCAACCATTTAGTTTCTCATTTTGTTTTCCATTCGAAAATGAGAATTGAAGAAAGGAAGGCGGCTTGTCCGCAACTTTTTGGCTGTCACAGTAGGTTGTTATAGATGATATAATTTACTGCCCAAAGTTTCAGCAGGAGCCGTCTTCGAAGGCTGAAAAGGCGTGAATTACATCGATATACAGTCTCAACCGCCAAATATCTCTCCATCTTGCCACTTGGTTCGTCTTGAGTGGAAGCAGGGAGTTTGGGTACAGAGACTCAGCTACCATGTATATCACCATTGTTTTTACGGCCGCTCCAAGTGTGCTTGGTCGAGTGCGATGTCAAGGAGCGCCCAAGCTATTCCGGAGCTGCGCGAGTAGAGCACACAAACTTATAGCTTTCTAGTACGACAGATATGACATCAAGTCACTCGTTGTAAATGATTTCTCATACTTGTTGATTCATTTGGGCTCGCGAAGAAGAATGTGGGGCCTTTCGAGGCTTCGTGCGGAAATTCAGTGTTCGCGGTCTAAGATTTTGCATTTGATATCGTAATCAACACCATTCGATCATTCTAAGCTTCTTCAGTGAACCAATCATGCTTTGCTCTTTTTGCTAGTTAGATGTTCACTGATAGGCACTCAGTGGCCGATTTGGTTTCACCAATACATGTGGCAGAGCACTTTATTCACTTTATTTAGAACACCGAATTTCTCACAATCTCCAAATTGTTCGTATGGTCACACAACACAGTCTCTTTGATACAAGCATCGCCGTAAAGTCCATTAGATACCAACAGCTTTCTAATGTTGTCTCGCGGACTGCTGCTGGGGCGAAGTCCTTCTCAAGCTGTGCTTGTACGGCACACTGTTTTATTGCGGCAATGACCCTTTCGGACATAAAAGGCAAGCGCAAAGATACTATATTGGTAGCTTGTTTGCTTGCCTTTACAATGTTTCTTTTCGAATACAATGTTTCTTTTCGAACGTCCGGAGCGCGTAAGAATCCATTCTCGACTATAGTTTTGGCTGCCAGCTTTAATGATTTCTGCCTTTCTTTTTCACAGCTGCGAATTTTGTCGCTGCTTTGACCATATATAGGCGAATCATAGCACGCAAAGACTGCGGACGTATCGGCGTCTATTTGATCTAGCGCTCTTTCGTTTCTCTTAGCATCTGCCGTCTCTTCCACACACAAACTATCTTAGTGGAACGCAAGGGCGCCCAGTCCCTGCGTGCCTTGAATCGACGATACGTATGAAGGCGCTATGTGACGTCGCAGTGAACTGAGCGTATGAAATGCTCTGCCATATATACGATAAAACCTACTGGCCACAGGGTGTGCGCATCAGCGAACATCTAGTTTGCAAAAAAAGGCCCAAGCATCATTAGTTTACTGGGAAAGCATAGAATGATCGAACATAACGGTGTTGCTCACGATATCGTGCAAAATCAAGGCTCACGAACACCAAATTTCCACATGAAAGGCCTTAAAAGGCTCCTACATCCATGCCTGCGAACTTAAGTTAAATAGCAAGTGCGCGGTCGTCTTCCAGCCGCCAGTCTAGATGCAAAAAGTATAAGAACTTATTTATTAGGTTGTCCGGAAATTAATGCCCGTTATGAATTTCAACCGCAATAAGTCATACACTTCTCATTTTTAAATAGGTTGCAGAGTACCATTCGATCGAGCAAAGTAAGCTCTACAAGATGCCCATCTTGTTTTGCAACAGCTCTCATTAACCTTTAGTTTCGAGCCAAAAACTAAAATTCTTCAGCTGCGCGAGATATTGAGAAAATTCGTAACTCAGTTCATAAGAATCCTACAGAAATTCTAACTTGTTCACGTAAACACTATCCACATAAGACATCTATATACACCGTTGCCGTCTTTTTTCACCTTTTAGAAATCAAGAAAACGGAAATTTTCGTGCATTTTCCAAAGTGATGCTGTGCAGTCGCCACACGCATAGTTGTGCACTACAAACCCGTAGCAGTACAAACGTAAATTCTCAGCTTTCTACAAGTGTTGGTTCTCGAGAGATATTGGATATGGCTTTCCCTAGTCAGGTGGTCCAAGCCAAAATTTTTCTCGATTTTTCGTGCAGCTAAATCACTTTAGTTTTTGGCTCAAAACTCAAGGTTAATGAGAGCTGCTGCAAAAGCAAGAACGCCATTCTGTAGAGCTTGCTTTGCTCTATCGAATGATACTTTGCGTACTATCTAGAAATGAGAGGTGTATGAGTTATTAAGGTTGAAATAAAACGGACATTATTTTCCGGACAACCTAATACAACGAGTGACTTGATTTCACATCTGTCCTACTTGAAGGCAGCAACTTGCCAGCACCGAATAACCCGAAATTTTGACAGGAAGGTTGCGTTCACCCCAAACATGAGAATAGAGCGGATCCGAGCGCATAGCATGCTGCCCTTGCTTATAAAACTGGCCTTAAACCCGTTACGCTTAAGCCATTCTAATACGCGAGGACGAGTTTGCGATTCTCCCTGACACGAATGAGGCATGCCGCAATGTTATAGCTGCGAGGGTCCCGCAACGATTCTGCCTCTCTAATTATGGCGGAACGGGTTCCACTCGTCCAAATTCAAAAATGGAGGCCTTGGGAAATGGTGGTTTTTGCCATTTTCGCGCTCTTCAAGGTGGATTTTCGGAACCAGCGCCTCGATTTACCCCAGGTAAGACTTCAAGTCGAGAATCTGCCGAGCCGCTGCCTTTAAGCTATAACATTGTGTGTCCTACAGCCCCGCAGTAGTATGGGTGCTCAATTGACATCGCACTCGACCAAGCCCACCTGGAGCCGCTGTAAGAACAACGGTGAACTTTTGCCTTCAATCTCCCTGCTTACACTCAAGACGAAGCGAATGGCAAGTGGTGGAGCTACTTGGCGGCAGAGACCATATATCATGTTATTAACGCGTTTTCAGCCTCTGAAAACAGCGTCTTGTCCCAGAGTTAGGATAAATAATTGGCTGACCCACGCATGTTCACTGTAAAAAATTTGCGGACATTCGCTAGCCTCTTCGACTGAGTAGAGTGTTCGGTGTAGAGTGCGTTGGCGCACGCCTGCAGAGGGTATCAAAGACACCGAATATTTATCCTACTATAATAACGTGCTAAGGCCGTCTGTTTTTTTGTGTGTCTGTCTGTGTGTCTGTGTGAAAATCTGTCTGTCACGAAATTCATAGAGGAAGCTGCAATCAAGCTATCGGACTGCAATTTCGCATAGCATACCGTGCCAGCGTGTAGGCCCACCACGCACAAGGACGAGCCGGTACGATAAGCGGGTCCCTCAAAATTTGCGCGTCAAACGGGTCCACGCGCCTTTTGGCACGCAAAACTGGGTCGATAATTCGACTTTTGCAAAGTTATGATTTGCCTGACAAGTAACTTTGCGCGCCATGAACTCTAGCCCAAAAAGTGCTCAAAAAGTTCGCTTTTTTGCGAAAACAGCGCCAAAAAGTGATGAACGCGTAGATAGTCGATTTGGAAAGGTTTTATTTGAAAAAAACTGAAAAGATTTTTGCACTGAAATGTAGCCCAAGGTGACTATTATCCTTATGACGATTATCAAACTAAAATAAGTTCAGTAATCCGCTCAAATTCGCATTTACTTCCTTGCAACAAAGTTTTTTTTTCTCAAAATTACCGATCTTACATGGATATGCTTCATGAATGAACAGTTGTTTACGATTCATTTTGTGATGCTCAGCATCGCGTGGTGAGTTTCAAAGCCATTCTCAAGCGAACATGAGAAAGGCTTACGGATAGAGAGTCAGTGCGAACCTCCGCGAAGCGGAGGTGACGCACTGGTCTTCTTATATATCGTTAAAAGTTTCTTTTGATAGAGTTTATTAGTTGTAGCACAAAGCCGGGTGTGGCCACTACATTTTTGGAGGTTGTGCCACACTCCATTAACTCACTTCTAGCATCAAACTTATGTTTTCAAATCACAGCTACACTTTCTTCTCTTCACATAAATTTTCGTTTGAAATCCTTCCTTTAGGAGAAGATATAACGGTTTCACGTTTTCTAAAATCTTGGGTGACGGTGGTATGCTTTGCGCTATAGCACACATCTTGAGGGAAGGCGGCAGAAATATACAGTTGATAGCCGTAGTTCTCATAGTTCTCACAGGAATGATACGAGCCTGAGTCTACTTATCCTCGGTAGTAGTTGCAATAGTTGCTGAAAGCACCACCATTTCAAAAAATGGAGAAAACACCCTGATTGGCTTTTTTTACAAAGTTTGGGAGTCATCAGAGTCCTTGTATGCGCAAAGGAGTGGTGCTTGCATTGAGTGCAGAAAGAAATAGCTAACTTACCCTCAAAACAAAATCAGTCATGTTCAATACGGCCATCGGCTTAGGTACAGTCTCAGAATCCCCAAAAATTTGGTCCACAGATTTTTTCGATATGCTAATTACGAAAATCATACTCAATATGCGTGGTAAGCTTCATTATCATGCTTACCATACCATGCTATGATAGGTCAGTATCTCAATGCTTGTGCTTGTACTTTCATAATAGGCTATTTCGACATGTGTTCAAGTGTCACTCCACGTTTGACCCTGGTTATCTGGTCCTCGACCTTTGGCGTGGAACAACTCACCAGGGAGGACACCTTGATCGAAGTGGCCCTAGGCAAGTGATGCATATGGGTAGACAGCTTTTCGAACGCTGATCTCAAAACTGCTTTCTCTATCTGCGGAGCGCTTCTGTAAAAGGAGTTATGAGCCTTTGTCTTCGTCAAAAAAGGCCTTCCCTCCATCAAGGCGCGGCACGGCGTTTACGTTGTGGCGGCGTGGTGTAGTGGTGAATGACTGCGGTTTGCAGGTGAATAAACAGGGTTCGAGTCCTGTTGTCGCCCAGCTGTTTTGCATTTTTCTAAAATTATTGCTTACCTTTGAAAATGCCACACCTGGACAGTTTATCGTAATCTCGCTACAAGTGATCAGGTCTTGAATGTGGCCAACTGTGGAACACTTCTTTACACTTCTACACATAAGAGGCTTTCATAGAAATGTTCAAAAAGGCATAAAAGTGCAATAACCAATCTCTCGCCGGTTTAATAAGTGTTAAGAATAAGCGCGTTTTGGATTACCAACGCACAAGAATTTAGAATACTATAGGTAAAGCCGTCCATATGTGGCATTTTCAAAGAGAGCGATAATTTTAGAAAAATGCAAAACCGCTGGGCGACAACAGGACTCGAACTCTGCTCACCTGTAAACCGAAGGCACTTACCACTACACAACGCTGCCACGATGCCTTTTCGCGCCTTGATAAAGGGAAGGCCGCTTTTGGGGAGAAAAAAGGTCATAACTCCTTTTACAGAAACGCTGCCACTTCGACCAAAGTGTCTTCCCTGGTCAGTGAAACGCATTAGAGTGTAAGGGTTTTCCAGAAAGCATGCACACTGTTTGATCGTTAATAACTCTTTTGCTTTCACTCTTTTGCGGAGCTTGAGGTACCATTCCGTAGAGCGAGGTTCAACTTAGATTTACAGTATGGAGCGAATTAACAATCGCTTTTTATTAGTGTAATATTACGGTAGAAACTTTGGAATGGATTTCAAGCCATTAAAAGCAGTATCCTTACAAGAGAATGGTCAGAAATCGAAATGGTCAAACCATAAAAGCTGCATACCATCAAATGCAGCATAAAACGCTGACTCCAAATCTGTCATCCTTGTCTGCACAGCGCTTTTGTGGACGAAATTATAAGCCGTTGAAGGCCATTATTTTGCTAAGAAATTGTGCGTATAAAGTACAAACTTGGCAGTACAAAGCCATTCTCGGCTTAATGTTGGACCAAAACATGCAGCTAGGTCACTTCATATGACCCGTACCTAGAGGTGAGCTCAAAGAGCAATAATGTGCCTAATTTCCCAATTTCTGTATACGATTTTTTCGCACTAAAGCTGCTCATAACTTCGCCAAAGGCGCTCTGCAGATATAGAAGACAGATTTAAAATCGGCATTTTATGCTGCATCGAATAGTATGCAGCTTGTATGGATTGGCCACTCTGACTTCTGACCATTTCCTTGTTAGAAAGAAAGCCATCAAGCCAGAAACCCTTGAACTGGGCTATTCGGAGTCGCTAATTCTAAGCATGAAATTTGCACTTCAGCGTAATGCTCCTTTCGTAAATTATTTCAGGTTTGAGGTAACAACTGTTATTCCATGCTCGTTAGAAATGTGAACACGTCATTAAGAATGCTTGAAATACTGGCGAAAGTTATGCAGTGAAATTAGCACGCCTGAAAACCTTGCTACACGAATTTTCAAATTTTTTTTGAAGTAATTTAATTGAGAGGCCTATCTCACAATGATGCTGTATGCTGAAAGAAGAGCGATTGATAACTTGCTCCATACTATAAATCTAAATTGACCTCGCTCTACAGAAAGATACTTCAAGCACGGCAAGAGATGTGAAACTAAAAGAGTTATTAACGACCAAACAGTGTGCACATCTTTTTTCTCACCCTGTATATGACCGAGTTTTGTTCACCATGTTCTACTCACTTCATAAATTGCATTTCCGGGCTTGGTTAGAAGTTTGATTTGGTAGTGAGCGAAAGCAGTTTTCGTGTCACCACTCAAATCCGGGAGAAAGCCGTCCTTATCCTTTACGTTTTTGTATTTCAGCAAATCCTCGTTTGATACCAGTCTAAAGTTGAGAATATCAGTCTACTAATGCGGAATTTTCTCATCCAAGACTTCAATTAGACCTAGCGTGCCTGTATGGCGCATTTGGATTAGCTGTTATCAGTTGCTCCTATGAAGTAATGGAAGCCTCAACTATCCACAACAACCTCATTGGCACCCACCCGAAGGGAGCATTGAACCCCTTCAATTTCACCACTTTGATGTGTCCCTCTGTGACCTCTTACACCTCCCTCCCCACCTCCGTGGTGGCGTACACACCTTACGCTTCACCCTAATCATGTTTTCAAAATGTAAGAAAAAACTACGATAAAGATTTATATGTGAGCAATATTGTCACTCTTGCTTTGAAAGGAACTTGAGTTTCCAATGTGAGCAATAACTTTCCAAAAAGAGTTTCTAAATAACGAGTCTACATGCAAGTGAGAAAATACTAGTCTTGATTTATGCCCAGGATATTCCGCTATGTATTCTCTAATATCTTGTTGCAAAAACACTTCTTTTTCTGAAAAGAGTTGCTGGAATGTGCTTTGCAGACACGTACCAGGGTGCGACTGAAAATCTTGGATAAGAAAATTCCTTCACTCTACGCGAAAGTGTTAATAAATAGAATACTTCTTCGCATCAAGAAGCTCTCGTAAGAAAAGCTTGGCACATAGATGGGATACGTCTTTTAGTTGTCTGTTAATGACGTCTACAACAGCAACAGCCAGCTTTCGTGACAACTCTCTGTCTTCGTTAGTGCTCAAGGCGCTTTTCCAGTTCAAGCAAGTGCACCAGTGCGCATCCACGCCAGCATAGAAACAGGTTATTTAAGCCCTTGCATCATGAACTTTGAATTTAGTTACCTGCGCACAAGTACGAGATTTCGGAATTGGACGGAAGAGCGACAGTGATCGTTTGTTAGGGTCTTGTATAGTGGTCAAATCTTTTGGAAGGTGAAGGAGATCCATAAGGGTCGCGTGAATGTCAAAAGGCGTCGTCAGCCTTGAAAAATGTCCGCAAAGTGTAGCAAAATGCTTATATTTCCCACCTGTCTTTATTTTTTACCAGGTTGTCATACATTATCTTGCCATGATTTGTACTGCGAAATTTGGCTGGCAGGGAGATTGCAAAAAATGGCAGTCGCTGAAACACCATTGCAACGAAGCAACCTGATGTGAATGTTTCACCTCCTCTAGCTGGCCTTGATGCGTTTCGCGCAGTTTTGCAAAACGGTGACCGTGATCTGCCATCACAATGACTAAGGCGTCATCCAGCTCACCTAAGTAGAAAAAGGTAAGTAATTGCGGGTTTACATGCTTTGAAACAATTTTGCAGAATGCTGAAAGTAGTTGTCACGTTACCGTACTCGCCACAGTCAAGACACTTTCTGAACAGTTTCTGAAGGGACGTCAGGACCCGGCACAGATGGTCTGAGGTCAAACTGGACTTCGTTTTTGAAGTTAGAAGCAAGTGGGATATCGTTTTTACAAGATCCTGGGGGAAGCGCCGATAGAAAAACGACGAACATGTCAGGTTATACGAGTTGAACTTGTTCTTTCGCAAGAGTGCGAATTTCAAAGGCAAGATTGATATCAACAAATGGTTTGCTTACAGCCCACAAACAATCAAGTGACACCAATTTTGTGTATACAATACTACTCCAAACTATATTATGCAAAAAAATTTGAAAAACTTATGTGCCCTATTACCCGTTCCCGAATTTATTGGTTTCTAGACCAAAACCAAACCAACTGGGTTGGTTCGGAGCACAAATATCGGGGAGTTCACATAAGTTTTGAACTTTTTTGATTTGGAAGATTAGAGCGCTCAAAGGTCTATCATATAGTGAAGAGAGGAAGTCAAACCATTGCCTCTCCTCTTTATTGAGCCAAAAATTGTCTAGCCTGAGTATTGATAGATATCGCGCCTAAATCACAGCGGCGTTCTTTAAACTACGCGGCGAAAAGTGCATCAGATTGAAGACACAGATTTGGTTGGCCTGGAGGTTTTGAGCATTCTGATAAAATGGTACCAAACTCAATGACAGAGCCTTTAATCAATTCAGAATGTTTTTATTTTGCTTTTTTTGTTATATTAGGTACCTCGAAATGGGCTTTTTTCGCTTTTTGTTGATATGTGGATTTAATAAATGTTCTCCTACTGATTTTTACGTCAAGGGTCTTCGTAAATTTTATGGAGTCATGGAGGACTTCTTTTCTAAAATGCTCTAAACCAACACGCGCCGGGCCCTGAGGGTCGTCGGCAGCAAAAAAGGTTTTTTCTGAGTATAATTGGGTAGACGGAGGCGTTATGGCCATCTCACTTTTAGCTTTACTCTAGTCAGAGTCCGGCACGAGTGGGTCTAGGGTTTTTAAAAACGAAATCTCTCCTGATCTTCGGAAGTTTTACGAAGTCTCCTTTGACCTATCGACTTAAAAGGAGATGAAAACAAGAAAGCCTTATTAGTCCAAAAAACTGAGATAAGAGTGAAGATTCAAAATAGAGCTCTATACTATGCATGCACAAGAGTTTGGCATTGGAGCGCCATATCTAAGAAAGCGAATTATGAAGAAATTAAGGCAAAAAACCAAGGAAATGCAATGATATGAAAATGTTTTCATGCTCGGGGATAGATTTCTGACCGGGGATCCGTTCATGATAGAAAAATACGAAACTTTTATGAAATTACAAAAATATATGCTCCAGACGATCTCAGATCGTTTGTGGCCGTCTGGAAACGGACTAAATTCGGAAAAGGTACTACTTCACATAAACTTTCAGAACGTTTTACATAATTCTTCCGTGAATAATATTCTATGCCTACAGTCAAATTTGGTGTCATATGCTTGTCTCTACGCTGTAAACAAGCAAATTGTCAATTTTGGCTTTGCTTTCAAATCGCGCGCGCTTTTCGCAAGACATGTTGGAGCACGTTCATCGTGTAATAACTTGTCTTGCTTGTGGTTGACTCAGTGGTTGCTTTTGGCACTACAGCAAGTGTGTTGAATTGTCTTGCCCAGTGCATGTGCAATTTGCTTCAGAAACTACGCTAGTAAAGCATGTACACAGTTTTTTTCGGGGCTCGGCCCCGAACCCCGTAAAAACAATATCGCTTTTGCTATGTGTCCTAAAAACGAAGTCCAGCTTGGTTCAAGACGATACGTGACGGGCCCTGACTCTAATCCATAACTTTCTTTTTGGACAAATATTCAACATCATATCGCAGCAATCAAGGAAAGGACGGGCTGCAACAGAAACGGTGTTGGCATAGTAGCTAAGCATTGGAAGTCTGAACATGACGAGCAGTTTGATACTACGTATAAGCGACCGCTTTCTGAGCCTATATCTAGACATAGAGATAAGCTTTGTGCAACGTAGTATCCTACTATAATAACGCGCTAAGGCCGTCTGTTTTTTTGTGTGTGTGTCTGTCTGTAAATCTGTCTGTCACGAAATTCATAGAGGAAGCTGCAACTAAGCTATCGGGCTGCAATTTTGCACAACATACCGTGCCAGCGTGTAGGCTCACCATGCACAAGGACGAACCGGTTCGATAAGCGGATCCCTCAAAATTTGCGCGTCCAACGGGTCCACGCGCCTTTTGGCACGCAAAACTGGATCGCTATTTCGACTTCTTGCAAAGTTATAAAGTCAAAGTCAAGTAACTCTGCGCGCCATGAATTCTAGCCCAAAAATGCTCAAAAAGTTTGCTTTTTTGCGAAAACAGCGCCAAAAAGTGATGAACGCGTAGATAGTCGATTTGGCAAGGTTTTATTTGAAAAAAACTGAAAAGATTTCGCACTGAAATGTAGTCCAAGGTGACTATTATCCTAGTGACGATTATCAAACCAAAATAAACTCAGTAATCCGTTTATATTCGCATATGTTTCCTTGCAACAAGGTTTTTTTTTTCTCAAAATTACCGATCTGACATGGAGATGCTTCATAAATGAACAGTTGTTTGCGATTCATTTGTGATGTTCAGCATCGCGTGGTGAGTTTCAAAGCCATTCTCATGCGGAACATGAGAAAGGCATACGGATAGGGAGCCAGTGCGAACCTCCGCGAAGCGGAGGTGACGCACTGATATCTATCATCAAAACCTTATAATAACGGGCTAAGGGTTGTTTACGTGTTTTTGTGTGTGTGTGTCCGTCTGTTACGAAATTCGTAGAGCGTGTTCCAGCCAGCGTTTTAAGCCCAAATTTTGCATAGCGCATGCTACCTTCATGAAAGTTCAACGTGCAAAAGCACGAATAGATTCGTTGAATGGGTCCCTCAGAAATTGCGCGCCAAACGGATCCACCTGGCTTCTGTCCCGCAAAATTGGGTCCATATCACCACTTTTTGCAAAGTCCTGGATGTGTTTGGTAAGCATATGTGCAAGCGATGGACTTTAGCCCAAAAAGTGGTCAAAAGTTTGCTACATAACGAAAACGGCACCAGAAAGAGTTGGTTGCGTAAATGGTTAATTTGCTAAGGTTCTAGCTAAGCGTTTCAAAAGATTTTCGCACGGAGATGTAGCTCACGGTTACTATTGCCTTTAAGGGGACTACCAAGCCATGACAACTTCAATAACCTATTCAAATTTGCGTTTGTCTTCCTACAAAAAGTTTCATCCACGCGAAATCACCGATCTCACGTGAAAAAACTTTCTGAATGAGTAGCTGTTTACATTTAATTCGTGGTAGTCGGCATAGTGCGGTAAGTTCCATTGCCACGATTTTACGAGAATGAGTAAGGCACATAGATAGTAGAGCCAGTGCGAGCCTCTGCGAAGCAGAGGTGACGCACTGGTAACTTATAATAACGGGTTAAGGATTGTTTACGTCTTTTTGTCTGTGTGTGCGTGTGTGTGTCTGTCCGTTACGAAATTCGTAGAGCGTGTTTCAGCCAATGTCCTGAGCCCAAATTTTGCACGGCGCATAGTACCAGCATGACGGTACAATATGCAAAAGCACGCGCGAATGGATCCCTCAAAAATTGCGTTTCAAACGGATCCACTTAACTTCTGGCCAGCAAAACTGGGCAGGTAGCAGTCTTTTTTGCAAAGTCATAAGTAAGTTTGACAAGCTAACGTGCAAGCCATGGGCTTTAGCCCAAAAAAGTGAACAAAAGTTTATTCCTTTACGAAGGTGGCGCCAAAAAGAATTGATTGCGTAAACTTCAATTTGCTAAGAGTTTACCTAATCATTTGTTAGAATTTTTGCACAGAGATGTGGCCCACGGTGATCACTGTCCTCAAGGCGACTACCAAGCCATGAAAAGTCCAAGAACCGATTTAAATTTGCAATTGTTCTTCTGGGAAAAGTTTCATTCACGCGGGTTTCACCGATCTCACATGAAGAAGTTTTAGAAATGAGTAGCTGTTTACTAATCATTCATGATAGTCTGCATAACGCGGTGAGTTTCAATGTCATTATTGCGGGAATGAGTAAGACATACAGATAGTGAGACCAGTGCGAGCCTCTGCGAAGCAGAGGTGACGCACTGGTGTAGTTATAAGTTAAGTGCAATTAGCTTATAAGTTGTAGCTTGTTGGTAGCTTTGTAGTAACGCCATATGCACCACAAGTAGGTTGCAAAGGACATGAGAATGAGGGGTTTCGGCAACATTTTAACGACTAAATTCGAGGGAGTATTATGGATGCACGATAACGGGACAGTTAATGACGGAGGAGCATATTCTATGACCATATTTATAACAAACCCAGTGGGTTAGCTTCCAGCGGCTTAGCCTACTCAGTATACTTGGAATAAATCAAATTTAAATAAATATCGAATAGTATTCGAAGAACGAAAAGTTCGAGTCGATCAAAAAATACTGTTGGAAAGACTTTTCAAACTATCTGCTTTTCACTGATATTAGACTTTCGAATATTGTTCGACTTCCGAATATCTTGCGCATGATTTGAATGTCTCTGTGAAAGTCTGAACATGACGAGCAGTTCGATACTACGTAGAATACATACAAGAATGGACCTTTGTAACCTTTATGCAATACGTTTTGCAGAAATCTCTGCGACAATGAATTTACCATCAAAAGCATAGAATTTTCACAGATAGTTTTAACCGTTGAAAACATAAGATTTCGTTTTCGATAGTGAGTTTTCCCAATTCTTCAGAAAGTCTCTCTGAGTTATAGCAATATGCTTTCTTGAGGACCTCCACGACGTAAATTCGCGCTGGATCTATTATTAGTCAAGATTATGGATCATCGGTCCAAAGTGTGGCTTTAATAGCGTGGGAATCGACAGCGCCACCGCTACAATCATGTTAT